TGATGCTTGAAGAGGAGGAGACAAACCTGGTTCATCACGGAAGAGGAGGGTGTAAGGGCAGCAGCGTTGGGATACGGCTCCTCTGCCTTGCTATAGCAGGCAAGGAGGGTGCCTACTTATTGTGAGCCTTTAGATCATAAAATCAATGGCATAGGATGTGTGGTTCCATTTTTGCACCAATCTCAATACCCTGAATTTTAATCTTGACCCTTCATTTGAGTAAGGTACTCTGCCATAAGGCAGAGGATCCCAGTCCGCAGCGTTGAGGTTCTTTAGCTTAGTTTAATTGGGAACCGCCACCTTGAAGCGATCGAGGTATCATGGTTTGGAGGATGATGTTTCAAGAAAACTGGCATAAAGGATCTTAGAACTTAGTTATTTTATTTCTTATAATATTATTTTCACGTTATTTATATTTATGTTGCTTTGTTTTTTATTGATGTTTTTTATTTTAGATCTGTAATAATGATTGACAATTCTGCTAGGTATTTATGTTGTTATAAAGAATCAATCGGTCAGTGATTGTTGTGTCACACTCGTTTGGTGGTTAGCGATTTGTACCGCCAGGGCCGTCTCCAGGAATTTTGATGCCACAGACAAAAAAAATGATTTAAGGAGACCAATTAAATAGTACTTCAAATTAATAACATAATTAAATATGAAGTAATTAGAAAATTATTACACCATTTTTTTTACTAAAAGCCTGTTTGGTGTCAGCTTATCAGGCTTATCAGCCAACTTTTTAACCAAACATGTAATTTTTGATTTCGCAAGTTAAATTGTGTAATAATAAGAAAAAGTAAAGTTGGAGTTACTTTTCGGGCTGTATTGGCTGAAGTTATTGTAGATGACTATTTTAGATATTTTCATTTAATATTTCTTTGTGTTATTAATGAAATATATTTTAAATATAATTTTTTCATGAATCAGCAGAATCAGTCAATACAACCACTTCAGTCAGAACTTCATAAATTTTAGCAGAATCAGCCGATTCAGACAATTTCAATGTTACCAAATGGCTCTAAATGTAAAATGAAATACTTGACTTAAAATGGGTTTCATAAAATTTTAATTAACTTCATACGTACTAGGTTAATTTGGCTACTAGGGCAATAGAGTTAACTTCATATGTTAAATTCTTATATTCTAATTCCTATTGATCTGAGACAAGCTCCATCTGGCCAAGCTCCATAATCGGTTGATAATCCATAATTGCTTGTCAATATATTACTCCATTTAATTTGATTTGATTTTGATTTTTTGTGGACTTTGACTAATGACTATTCTAACTCGTTTCTCGTACTCCGGCTGCCACTAAAGGCCATTGCAACTTGGTTATTTGGATACTCGCTGATCAATGATCATATACTACTACTTCGTATATTAATTTATCAATATATATAGAATAATAATAGTTTTCTTATTAAAAAATTGTGCCCTCCTTGGGAGTGGTGCCCTAGGCAACTGCCTAGGTGCCTACCCCCATGGACGGCTCTGTGTACCGCTCTTTCAGGGGTGATCGTTTCTAAGTCTAGTCGTAGGGTTGATAGTGATAGTTGATTACAGATAGTTGTTGTCAGTGTTGGTCTATTTGACTTTGATGTCACGATCTGTATCCTACTCATATTAATATAAGCAACTTTTCCTTTAAAAAACTCGCTAGGCGTTAGTGGGACGGTTGAGGGGCACATAGACAACGTTTGAAATAAGATAAAATTAATTATGTAAAATTAGAAATTAAAAAAACTCTTCCTTAATAAGAAAAGGTTTAAATATGTTTTAAGTCCCTGCAAATATAGCAGATTTTGTTTTACATCCCTACAAAATTAATTTTTTGTTTTTCATCCCTGAAATTTATGGTGATTTCCTTTTTAGTCCATCATAGATGATAACAACTTCCGTTTGACAAAAAAACTATCCCGACTAAAAGACTACATTTAATTGTTTGTCATATTATTAAAAAAGTATTTAATTTTAATTTTTAGAAGGTTTTTAATACATAGTTGAAAAATGAGAATAATTAATTTTACATTACTTTAACTCTCATATTAGTCTAAAAAAATTATCAAAGTATAAATTTAAAAGTTTCTAGTAGATTTATGCAATCGGGAATACGGAGTAACTTTTTCCCCAAATTTAGTGATTTCGGAGTAGGAGATGGACTAAAAACAAAATAAACATATTACAGGGATGAAAAACAAAAGTATTATTTTGCAGGGATCTAAAACAAAGTGTGTCATATTTGTACGGACTAAAATCATATTTATAATGAAGAACTAAGGTTATTTGTGGTGCTAAATAGTGAAAGGGCCTCTGTCTACCACGGGATGTATGCTTTGCTTTATGTGATAGGATAGTTTTGATGATGAGTAGAATAAAAAACATATGAGATTTAAAACTGATTTTGCTTCTGCTTCTATTTTAAAAGTTGAAGTAGAATCAGAATAAGTTTATAGAAATTGTCCTGAATAGGAGTAAAAATAGGACGTTCATGTTTTTATTCCCTAAATAAGAGTAATTTCTGTCAAGTTTGGAAAATCTGCCATGTTTAAAGTCTGGTTATGTCAAACTTGGGCAAAAGTTACCTCTATTTAGGGAATAAAAACATGACACTGCAATTTTGGAATTTCAAAACTTCTTTACTCCTATTTAATGATATTTTTCAATAAGTTTTTAGAAGTTGGTTCCCCAACTTCTAAAAAACTGTTTCTAGAAGCATTTTGAAGCACTCAAAAATACTTCTGCACTTTCAGCCAAACACTCCAATATCTACTTTTATCTCTAAAGTAGCAGAAGCAATTTTGAGAACCAAATTCAAAACACCTCATACTATGCAAGTGGTTTCGACTATTGAGTCTGGCCAATGTTTTTTTGGCTTGGAGTCATTATTGATTTATTGATGATAGATACAAATATGTGAAACACTTAGGGCCTGTTTACTAACAGAGATATTTTCCTGTTTTCTACTTCTGTTTTTCGTTCTCCAATTTTCTTTTTTTATTTTTCAGTTTTTCTATCTCCAATTTTCTGTTTCTATTTTTTAGTTTTCTATTTTCAAATCTGAAAATATGTTCATCAATTTTTTCACCCAGTTCACCAATTCCACACCCTTGACCCCTACCCTTACCACGATCTTACACTCTACCCATACTCTCCCACAACCCTTCATACCCACCCATACCTACTCGTAGGGGTCGGGGTAGGGAAGTTATGGGTGGGTAGGGTAGGGTAGGGGTAAGGGGTAAGGTACGAGGATGGAGGTACCAGAATGGAATCGACATCGGAGCGGGACCGGAACCACCACTAGGTGTAAGTATGCAAATTCATTGCATCGGCACTGTAGCATTTGCGTTTTCCAAATTTGGAAAACTAGTAAAAGTCACTTCTCCAAATCATTAAGGAAAAGAGAAACATGTCTCATTTTTTCCGTTTTGGAAAACGATTTGGTAAACGCGTTTTTCTTTTTTCCTTTCTCCAGTTTTCCAGGAATTTCTTTGATAAACACGTTTCCTGTTTTCTGTTTTCCAGTTTTCCAGTTTTCTGGAAAACTGGAAAATATTTCTGTTAGTAAACAGGCCCTTAACTTTTGAATTTTGATTTCACTTGTAGAATTGAGTAATGTTTGCAATCACTTATTTTTTTTCTTCGACTTTTGATGAAAATAAGGATGAAATAAGTGTTTTCAAGTGACAACTTTTACTTAAATTAAACAATTAAAAGCTAAAAGTCGATAACAAGTGAATGCGTACTTAAATTTCTTTTCACCTTTTCTATCACACAATAATATTTTTTTTATCAAACACTGTCAACTTTTACTTTTTCAAAAACATTTGTCTCAAACACTGCTAATTTCACTGCTAATTTTTAACTGTTAGGCACGTTTTCTAAAATCATTTTAAAAAAGTTGAAGATGATTGTGTTAGATATTCTTTGGTGCAAATTTTTCATTGTTTTTATAAATGAAAAGTATTTCAAAACATTTTGGCTGTCCCTTAAAACTTTGTCAACTTTCATATTTTGACTGTCTCATTAACTTAGTCAATTTTCCTTAAAATAAAGAATTTGTGCTTCCGGTTAATTCTCCCTCTTCTGTACAAGTCTTAATCACACATTTTTTTTAACTTTATTAATCATCATACTAGTCAAACTTGTTCAAGTTTTAAGAGATGAAGAGAGTATACATTTTTAAGAATTGACAAATAATGCCCATCAAACTCAAATGTGGGGCCATGGGTGGGCGACAAGACATATGGCCCCTAGATGAGTGTTGACTTGCGACAGGGAGGAAACTGCACAAGGAATAAATGGCTAATCCCGAGTTTAGGACGAGAGTTGAAGAACATAATGGAAGTAGGAGATAGACAGAGTCAGCTGATAGAAAGCCAAGAAAAGGGTACAAATGCGAGATGTTATTTGGTACGGGGGCTGATCTCAAGAGGGAAAGAGAAAGTGGGAGCGGAAGAGGAGCAAAATCAGGTTAAAATTTTAGAGGAAAGCTAATCCAGGAAGCGCAGGGCACTGGATTTGGAGTATCTGGTGGAGGTTGAAGTGAATATGGAAGTAGATGGGATCAGTTAAAAAAACGGCACAACGGCGATGCTACTGAATCAACGCCGCCTGGAATACCATTAGTTGATGTAAGCGGGAATTTTCCTTTGGAGATGACTGGACAAACCTCTTCTCCCTCCCCGATGGCTTGTAAACCAGGCTTTACGATTCTTGTGTTCATTTTCAGTTTTTGAATTCTAGTTTTTCTAGTAGCAAGTACATCGATGTTGTTAGAATAGTCTACCATTGTGTGAAGTAAGTCTCACTCCAGGGTTGCCTTAATCTACTGCTTTGTCTATGATAACTTTCATGATTATTAATAAATGAGTATCTTTCTTTCAAAAAAGAATTGAACCTATTTCGAATTCATAAATTTGAGAGATATAAATAGGTTAAATTTCATGTTAAAAAAATTGAGAGATATAAATAGGTTAAATTTCATGTTAAAAAAAGAATAAAGAAAAAGGGACAACCGTAAAATGCGGGTTTGTATGTCTTATTCGTCCTTCATGCTCCAGGCAGCAGCTTTCTTACTGTTTACTGCTGTCTGGTCTCTTCACGGCTTCACTTCACTTATGCTGTTTCAAAGATTCAGATCCGGGTGAGACTCCACTCTGCCCCGCTCTCTAAATCCTTGCTATTTTCGTGTTTTGAGTGCATTGGTTTATTTCCTGTTTATTTAAAGAAAAAAGGAAAAAAAGAAAATATATCCCTATTTTCTTTATACGCATGAGCTCTTGAGAGTTGAGAGGTATCCGCAACTGTTATTTTTTTATTTGTGTTTTCGAGTTCTTGTCTTTTTACGCTTTTAAAGTTTCCAAATCTTCAGATTCTGTTATTTCTGGGTAATGGGTGTTTTGCAAAATAGAGTTGGCAGTCTTTTCTTCTCAGAAAAATTGTTGATTTTTTTTTTTATTTGTGTTACTTAATCTAGTAGCTGTATAACCTGTATTGGTTTAAGTTTTCAGAGTGTTCTACAGAAGTTAATTTGGTGGGCCATGAAGCGTTGAAGTAAATTTCACGTAAGAATCTTGGAAGAAATGGAGGAAATACAATCCCATTCAGATCATTATAGGTCGTCATCATCTTCAGCGAGTAGTCCTGCAAGTAGGGTACCCTCAAGTAGTTTCTTTTACCTAAGAAAACCTGGAGTACTTAGGCAACCCATATCGTTTGAGGACTCACCAGAGTGGGAGACAGACATTGAGGCGAAGGTGGATGAAGGAGGCGACTCTTCTATCAATGTCGTGACCACCCCAGCCTCCCCATCCCTTTCAAAGATTAACAGTGGTTCTTTCTCATCCCAGCCCTTAACAGCAAACAGAGGTGTAACACGAAACATTGCTGGGGCTTCCGTGGCATGGAAGGACTTGACTGTTACTATAAATGGGAAAAGATCATACTCAGATAAGGTGATTAAGAGCTCTAATGGTTATGCGCTGCCGGGGACAATGACTGTAATTATGGGTCCTTCTAAGTCTGGCAAATCTACTCTTCTCAGGTCCCTTTCAGGTCTGTTATAATATATACTACATAGTTTACATACGATAGTATATAGTACTATGAAATGTCACACTTTTTTAGGAAATAGTTAGATAAAGTAATTTGAGTATAGTTTGAGAAGTAGTTTGGTGAATATATAATGTATTGATCTTATTGATGGTAATGTTGTTGTTATGAGTGTATTAATTTTAATATGTGATGACCATTCAAGAGAGATAATTATTTCCCAAATGGAATGGGAACTTGTTATGGGATGTCCCAAAGTGGCATGTGAGAACTTTGAAACGGGACGAAGGTAGTAAGTGTTTTCTTATATGCGTGCACGGGTATTTATTGTTAAAGGAGTGTTGCTGTTAGGTGTGCCTGACTGAACTCAAGTTAAGCCCAAGCCCATTTTGCTCACTAGTAATATGCATCTTCTATTTGTTCAAAGATAGACACTACAAACTCACTTTCTCACCTTTACATTTTCGTAATTATCCAACAATTAAGATTAAATCATCTTTAGAAATGAATTTATCTTCTGTAAAATTGAATTTTTAACATAGTCTAATAATTTGAATTAATATTTAATGCATATGACCAGGATAACTTCTGGGCCATTGATTTTTTGTTGCCAAAATCAATGTACGCCTAACTGGATTCCCATCCGCCATGCCTAAGCTTAATATTCCTCTGTATTAGTTATAACACACACTGCTACATTAACATACAATACGAGTTTCCATGAATGACAGTTTTTTCGTTTTGTTAATCTGCTTTAGGAAGGTTACCTCGTTCAGCCAGAATGTATGGTGAGGTGTTTGTTAATGGTTCCAAGTCACGGATGCCATATGGGACCTACGTAAGAACCTAGTCCTTACACCTATCTATAGAATTTGAATCATAATAGTTACAAAGCCGTCATGTTGCCTATTGCTGTTATAGTGTTATATATGGTAACTTTGTTAGTTCGCTCAGTAGATGTTTGTTTGTCTAATTAAGCATATTTGCAGATAAAAAATGACTCTCTATGTTCTGGAACACGCTTATGTAATATTCATTCATTTGACATGTTTAGTTCATTTGTTATAATACTCCATAATTATTCACTTGCGCATTAGTTACTTGTGACTAGGAATCAATTTGGTCTTGTCTTTTGTTAATGTAAATTCATTTTTTACCTTGTTTTAGAAACATATTTGAATTTGTGTTTTTTGAACAAATAGTGGTATATACGTGAACCGACAAACGTGTTCAATAAATAAATAATCGATTGTGAAAACGACAACCAAATGGGAGTAACCCTTGTCTAACGAAGAAATACAGTGATCCTATAATTCTTTACGTTGAATAACAGGGGTTTGTTGAGAGAGAAACCACTCTTATAGGATCACTGACAGTACGTGAATTCCTATACTACTCAGCATTGCTTCAATTACCTGGTTATGTATGGAAGAAAAAGAGTGTGGTGGAGGATGCTATCAATGCCATGTCACTGGGAGATTATGCTGATAAACTCATTGGAGGTCACTGCTATATGAAGGGTCTTAGGAGCGGCGAGAGAAGGCGTCTCAGCATTGCTAGGGAACTTGTTACGAGACCACATGTTTTGTTCATCGATGAACCTCTTTATCATCTTGACAGGTTTACTTCTCATCCCGATCCTTATCTTTCATCAGTTTCACGACGCATCTTTTCTAAACTAGTTTACTACTATCTCAGTCCTAAAACACATTTGGCTATCCAACTTTTCTAAATTAGTTTACTGCTATCTCCGGCCTAAACAATGATCATATTTAGTTAATGTCAACTTTTTAATACCAGCAAGGTTACAACCATTGAATAGCATCAGTTGAAGCTAGATTTGGAAATTTTATTTGTGGGTTTAACTAAATTTAACAAACTTGTTTGCAGAACTTTCTTTTTCCTTTGAGAGCAGACCATTAAATTTAATGATAAACGGTTTTGTTTTTTTCTGACTAGACTTTTCTTAAACAGAAAAACAATGTTTCAAATATAACTCTGTTTGTGGGGATGGAGGGAGTACTTTATTCACAGCCTGGTGAGTGAAGTCGTGTGGATGCACAAGGCATGGCTTGGATTGGTTTTGGTAGTCAGAGACTCATAATTAAATTACTTGGACTTGATTTTATACGAAATGGATAGAATCATGTTTGGAATGACATGATTAATCCAAATCTCAGGAATTGGGCAAATTTGAAAATTCTTAGGCAGGGGGATTCCTTCGATAGATCGATTTCAGGAATTGAAGATAATCGTGAATTTGTGGATTCTTGGATTTTTGAAATGCAATAGTGGAGCACACCTGATTGCTAGACAAGGAACTTAAAGGCAATCCAAAGTCCAATCTAATCCAACAAAAGGATTATGAAAACCACAAAAGTGGTTTCGATCTTTTACTTGCACTTTCCAAAATTTGAATGATTAGCACAATTACTTTTTTCGCTGCTAATTATTATCAGACCAATAATAATATACTCCTTATGTCCCAAATTTTTCTTTAAATTTTCCTTTTGGGAAAGAATTTTGTGGCTTTCATCAATTCCATATCATTTTAAATGAATCTCAATCACACAGTTTCAGTGTCCTATACGGCTATATACCGTGCTAAGAACAACTGGAAATTGGAGCAATACTGAACAGGCCCTTATGTTTTACGTTCCAAGTCATAAGATTAAGAAGTTACCAGCAACATAGACTTGGTTAAGAAATTTTTATGTACATTTAATTGGTCTTCGTATGATACTCATAACCTGTTAATTTCACCAGTGTTTCTGCACTCCTGATGATGGTTACACTGAAGAAACTGGCAAGTACAGGATGCACTTTAATATTCACCATTTACCAAAGCAGTACTGAAGTATTTGGTCTCTTTGATCGAATATGTCTCCTTTCAAATGGAAACACACTCTTCTTTGGTGAAACACTGGCTTGCTTGCAGGTAACTAGCCAATCTACAAGAAATAAAAAAACTACTTCAGTCATTACTTCTTCCGCATGTCAACTGTTAAATCGTTTTGTTGTAATTTCATATTCCTTAGTTATTCTTGGTTTACGAAGGTTAACATTTTAATTCATTTGTGAAGCACTTTTCCAATGCTGGATTTCCTTGCCCGATAATGCAAAGTCCTTCCGATCACTTCCTGCGTGCCATAAACACAGATTTTGACAGAATTATAGCAATGTGCAAAAATTGGCAGGTAATTGGTTTCAAGTATATCTAAAATGAAGTTTCATCATTCTTTGGGGTACCCTATGAATCATTAGTTAAAATTTTGCTGTAATTTTCTGTTGAATGATGTATTAAAATGCTGACAGGATGAGCATGGAGATTTATCAGCAGTGAATATGGACACAGCTGTTGCAATACGTACCCTTGAAACAACATATAAAATCTCATCCGATGCCGCTTTAGTTGAGAGTGTGGTTATGGAGCTTGCTGAGAAGGTGAACATTACCCATCAGTTTGTGTTTCTTCGTTGCTTCCTTTACATTAGAATTCAGGATTCGTTTGAGGCCGGTCGTTCAATTGGGGCATAAGACACTTGTTAACAGTACTAAAGAGTTGAATTCAATCAAATAAGTAGTTCTTCACAGTGTTATATTTACCCATCATTTTTTCTTTATTGATCTGATGTGCGACTATAGTGCCACAATTGAATTCCGGAGTTCCACATTAGAATACTGTAATAAGTCGTATAGTATATATGTCTTTGGTTAAACTAAGCAACCGATTGCATTCAATCTTTTAGCTAGTCTAACCTAATACATTATATACTTGCATGTCTCACTTTAAGATATTTTGTTTTTACAACTTTGCTTGTTCTAAAACTTGCTTAAATCTACTTCAATGACAATTTTCCTTTTCCTGTGTGTGTTGCTACAGCAAGGTCCGCCACTAAAGAGAAAAGAGAAGGCTAATTGTGGGACACAAATTGCCGTTTTGACTTGGAGATCTGTATTGATCATGTCTAGGGACTGGAAATACTACTGGCTTAGGCTGAGTCTCTATATGCTTTTAGCACTCTGTATTGGCACTGTCTTCTCTGGTTTGGGTCATTCCTTGTCATCTGTTGCGGTAAGCAATGAGCATAAAAAAACTTTGGAATCAGTTTTTTGTTTTTAGAGTTTGATATTCTTGTGATAAGGCGTATTTACTATTTTTTTTTTTTTTTGTAAAAAATGCAGTCTGGAATATGGTTGTGTAGTTCATCCCAAATTGATACATAGAGTTAGGAAAATTGCTGTTTTGGTCCCTCAACAGCTTCCATTCATGCAATATTTTTCGATTTCATGTAATTCCTTTTGTCCTTTCCAAACCAGAATTGACTAATTGACAATGAAGGACTATATTACATAATCATAAATAATTGGGAAAACTGTCAAATAGGCCCTCGTAGTATATTAAAATAGTCAATTAAGCCCCCAAACTTAACAAACGCCCAATTAAACCCTCAAACTTTAATGAAACGTTCAAATGTAAAATTTAGCAGGTCACATTTAGGTTTTTACCGGTCATTACATATACGTGGCAATCCATGTGTCTTTATTTATCCTTTTCTTTTTCATTCTTTACCTTCTCTATCCCTTCTTCTCTGTTGTTCCACCCCACCGTCACTTTCTTCCGCCTCATCTCTGTCCCTGATTTCTTCTTTCACCCATCCTCCTCACAGCAAGGGGAGAGATTGGAGAGAAGGTAATAGCCGGTGGTGGCTGAGTGCTGCGGGAGAAAAAAGGTGAAATGACGGAATGAAAAAAAAACAGAGAAAAGAAAAAGGTAAACAGTGAAAATAAACACGTTGATTGCCATATGAGGACGGTGACTGGTTAACCGGATAGCAACCGGCTAAATAATACATTTGAACGTATTATTAAAGTTTGAGGGTTTAATTGGGCGTTTGTTAAGTTCGGGGCTAAATTGACTATTTTAATATACTATAAGGGCGTATTTGACAGTTTTCCCTAAATAATTTTGGGACCAAATTAGCGACTCTTCCAATGTAAAAATGAAAACCAATGTATAAGGTCTCGTGTTACTTCTCCTTTCACAACCTTATTCCTCTATCATTTGCAGACAAGAGTTGCAGCTGTCTTTGTATTCATATCATTCACCTCTCTTCTAAGTATATCTGGAGTACCTTCTCATAGAAACGAAATCAAGGTAGTTACAGGGGCGGGATGCTATCATTTATCCATTTTCAGTACTTATTGGTAAACTCAGTCAAACATTTAACTTGCAGATATATAGCTGCGAAGAATCAAATGGGCATTCCGGGGCTTTTGTTTTCCTACTTGGACAACTTTTTGCCAGCATACCCTTCCTGTTTCTCATATCCATACCATCAAGTCTTGTCTTTTACTTTCTTGTTGGTCTGCGGAATGAGTTCAGCTTGTTGATGTACTTCGTGCTGAATTCGTTTGCGTGTCTCTTAGTAAATGAAGGCATGGTATTGTTTTTTGCATCCATCTGTCGAGATATCTTCTCGAGCATCACGTCGTTGGTGGCAGTACACGTGAGTATTGCCTCTGCTACTCATTTTTAGGCTCCATTTAGGTTTTGGATTTTTTTTTAAATGTTTTCTCCCCGGTTGGAAATGATGGTTTTCCAGGAACACTATTGTATGTTTGACACAGGAAAATATTTTCCACGTTTCTTTGAACTATTGTGGAAAATGATTTTCCTTTTTGAAAAAGTGAAGTCATATTCCAGCAATAATGTTATGTTTTCTACTTTAAGAGGTCATGAGGTTTCATCCTATAAAGTATCATGATAGGAGGAGTAATGAGTCTTATATGTTGATTTGTATCTCATATTTGACTGATGTGAGCCACTCAACATGACCAGCAAGGTAGTGACCCATTTGTGCAGATCAATCCTGAAATTTGACCACGGAGTCTTAGTCGGGTCATATGCTTGGTTGGCTCTGGTGCCACATTAAGATTGAGTTTCATTTTGGACAATTTGGCCGTTTATCTAGTCGAAACAGGGTGTATCTCTATCGGGGAGATACTTAGGGGAATCCCACCCCGAGAACATGTAATGGCCGTAAACAGCCGAACAAAATTCGCTTGAGGCAAAAATTTGTTCCCTGGAAAGCACCACTGCAGTAAAGGAGAGTTACCACATCATGTTGACTCAATGTGTTGTAATTGAAGGAGTAACCAAGCTCTTGTAATTGTAGGAGTAACCAAGCTCTTATAACATAGTTTCACGGAAAACATGTTCCATAGCAATACATTTCCTATAACCAAACTGAGCCAATCTCAAATACAGTAATTAAGCATCTTATTACATCAAAAAGTGATTTTTTTACAGGTGGTGATGATGCTTTCTGCTGGCTATTTCAGAAACAGGAGTGATTTGCCAGGAGCTGTTTGGACATACCCTATATCGTATATAGCATTCCATACGTACTCTGTCCAGGCATAATTTCTAGCTTGTTTAATAATGATACTGACAATAAATGTGTTCCCTCTCACTTTATCTAATAATAGTAATCTTCTTTACACATTCAGGGAGTGTTGGAGAATGAGTATATCGGCACGTCTTTCGCTGTGGGGCCTGAGAGGAGCATATCCGGTGAAGAAGCGATCCAGAACGTCTATCAAATATCAGGGGACAGCAACGCCAAATGGAAGCATTTGTTGGTATTATTTATTATGGCTGTTGTTTACCGTGCTTTTGCTTATGTAGTACTGAAAATCTGTGGCTGGAGAAATGTCTCTGGGCATAGACTTCTTCACTGTAAGAAACGTACAAATAATCCATAATGAATGTATGGAAACTTACTCTTTGAATGTGTATTTATAACAAATGCCATCATTTAGTTCAAGTGGTTTTTTGTTTCAACATCTTGATTTGCTTGCCCTTACCCAGTTACCCTTAGATAGCATCATTCCTTTTAGTGTTATGAGTCACACTCTTCATCCCAAATTTGCGTCTTGTATGCAGGGATGGACTCGGGCTGGGCGGCCCGCCCCGGAACCGGCCCGGACCGGTCACTGTTTGAACCGGCCCGGCCCGGGAACCGGGCCATAGGGCGGTTCGGGTCGACCCGGCCCGCTAGTCATACGGTTCGGGCTCGGGCCCTAGGAATGGTGAACCGGCCCGGCCGGTTCGGGCCCGGTCCGGTCCAAATTTAATTTTTTTTTTTTTTTTGAATTTTTTTTAAGTTTTTGGGTTGGGCTAGGTATTTTGGGCCATTTGAGGTGGTTTGGGGGTGAGGGGGGAGGTTGGGAGTTAATTAGGAGAAGCCAAAAAAAAAATTAGATTGGACCGAGGCCTGGCCCGGCCCGGCCTGGGCCTCCCATATCCTGAACCGTGAACCGGCCGGGCCCAGGCCCGAACCGGCCCGAGGCCATGCCTACTTGTATGAGGATTGAGGAATGTGCGAATTTATTTTTAGTCAACCCAATTAAGGATGGCAATGGGGGCGGGGGCCTGTGGGGAACCGCCCCGTGGGGGGGGGGGAGTTGGGGCGGGTGGTGGGGTGGGGGAGATATTTTCTCCCCGCAAAAATATGGGGCGGGTGATGGGTTATGCACCCCCGCCCCGTCCCCCGTAATAATTAATAATAATAATCTCAATAATAATAGTAATAGTAATACTAATACGAAGTAATTAAAATAGCATGGTGGTCCGGTGGGTTTAGTGGTTTCCTATCTAATGGATTGTGCGTAATGGATCTATCTAATTCTTGTTTAATAACTAAGCTATCTTGTAAAATTGCTTATCAAAATCATAAAGTAAAATGATTTTTTTAGAGATAAAATAAAATGAATTTGGGAAAGTTATAAAGTGATATTAGCTTAAACGCCTCAGGCACGGTGTGAAAGTTTTTTTCCTTTACTATTATAATGCATTAATTCTTTTCTTTTGAATGTCATCTTTATGATTGTAGTTAGGGCTCTTAAAATTTGGTGATCATATGTCGTCCTAGATGCCGTCAAATGACCATGATTGATTGAATGCAGGGTTTAAGAAAATATTATAGAGCTAATCAATGCTAATTTAGAGTTTGATAAAAATTACTAATTTAGAACGTGTATAATGTGTTCTAGATTTGAAATGGGATGTAAGATTACATTGACACTTCAAAAGTAAAAAACATTGGCTACTAGAAGTGTTGTTAAATTTTTGAAAAATTGTCAGTGTCTAAAATGATGTTAATTTTTGACGAGTACTTCCCCGTTGGGTACCCGTGGGTCTAGCGGGTCGGGGCGGGGATGGGGCGGGTCGAATAGTAGTGGGGGATGGGGCGGGGGTGGGGGCGATTTTTTAGACACGGGGCGGGGGATGGGGGAGTGAACCCCCGCCCCAACCCCGCCCCATTGCCATCCCTAAACCCAATCAAGGTAAATACAACTGAAGGTTACTTCTAAGATTGCTTGGAGCGCTAATAGTTAACTAACATGTTCTCCATTTGGCTTTTACATGCATTATACATGAATTTTTTTTGACTCTCAAGTGTTCTACAATGATTACATTTCTTTAAACAGACGGTGTATAACAGTTTATTATACACTTCAAATAAATGTCATGGTTGAAGAACATTTTTTGTCTAACAAAGACTCCAAAGTCATCTTTTCAAGCATAATGCATGTTTTTTTTTGCATATTCATGATTTTTTTATAATAGAAATTTTGATTAACTAATGTTATGGTGTTATGTATGGGTAATGATATTGAAAATATATTGATTGAAATTTGAAACCAAATGTGCCCAATATATAATAATACTATATCATTATATGGACCATTCTTGGTGTACACAAGTTGTACATGAAATGTGTACATTGCCTCTACACAGACAATTTGACATGAAGTCCCGCCCCTTTTTAAACGAATTGCATGTGTACACAGGCAATTAAGGGGGTTTTGTGTACAATTTGTGTACAAGTCATGTACATTATGCATTTTCCATTATTATATAGTAATAAGGGAAAACTGTCAAATAGGTCCTCGAACTTTCATAAAAAAGTCAGTTAAGTTCTTCTATAGGAGACTCTATCCAGTCGTCGCGATTTAGGACGGTTCTTGGTGGAATTTTTTGATGAATTTTTTTGAGCATCTTATTCATCAAGTCTAGTTTACTCATACCAAATTTCAGCTAAAAATTTAATCGGGAGCGCATTCAAATTAATTTGAGAACGCAAAAATGCGCAGTTATCTTCAAGAATTAATTTGAATGTGTTCCCGATTGAATTTTTAGCTGAAATTTGGTATGAGTAAACTAGACTTGGTGAATAAGATGCTCAAAAAATTTCATCAAAAAATTCCACCGGGAATTGCCCCAAATCGCGACAGCCGGACAGAACCTCCTATAGAAGGACTTAATTGACCTTTTTATGAAAGTTCGAGAACCTATTTGACAGTTTTCCCTAGTAATAATAACAAGAACTCAAACATCTTGGACATGGATCAATGACCCAAATCCCTCTGGTCCATATACTATAGGGTTTCTGCACTAAGTATTTTGTGGAAATTTTCATAACGTTTACACATAATCACATATATTGCATACGCAAGTTAAGCAGGGGCGGAGCTAGGGGGTGGCCACCCCTGGCCCTGGCCCAGCCCAAATTTTAAAAATCTCTATATTTTTAGTGTAAAAAATTCCGTGTGAAAGTTTTTCCAAAAATATTCTTTGTACCGGCCCAGTCCGGCCCAGTGTCCTGGCTCCGCCCCTGAAGTTAAGACTTAAGACACAATATTGATATTTGACTATGAAGCGTTGTCTTCTCACTAAATGACCAATTTCACAAGTCTATCATAATCGTTTCTGACTAGATGTTTGGAGTGTTTTCGTAAAGATAAACGAACGAATGATCAATTTGCTATGCTTTTACCTTGTTCTTGCTATTGCATAGTTAACATAATCAAACCACTAAATACAAGTTTACTTAGAAATGCCAATTCAATAAGAAAAATGACATTTTGTTTTTTCTTAATACTATTCAATCAATAAAAAATCAACCAATTTTTGTTAAATGGAGTGACTTGAAAAAGAAATATTTCATCTGTGTCACTTCCTATATCTATTGAAGGTTAAAACCATTATCTACAGTTCTACACTAGAAACTATGAACCACAGTCACTTAAAAGTGTTGTTTAAGGCTACTTTAAGCTAAAATTCAGTTGAATGAAACAAACTTGTTTGATCGCACATCTAAAGTAGTGATAGAAACAAATAAATATTACTACGCATATAACTAATTGAGATTTTTACTAAAATATTATTCAAATAAAGCTTATTATAAAAAATGTGACTAGAGTAGCTGTACAAATATATACATAGTACTGTAGTATTATATAACTAATTCAGATTTTTAGTAAAATATAATTCAAATAAAGCTTATTATAAAAAATGTGACTAGAGTTCAATCTTGTACATTCTTATCAAGCTCAAACAAGTATATCCATGTTCGTGCTCGGCTCGTTTATAATCCCAACTAAGAATATCCATGTTTGTGCTTAACTCGTTTATAATCCCGACTAAGAATGTTGTCTTTTGGACTTAAACAAACTAGATCAAACTTCCATAGTTAAAAAATACATAAAGACCAAAACATCCTAATCCATCCCCATCTAATCCCGCTTCTTTAGTATTTCCATTACATCCATTTTGAGAAGCAGAACAAGCTTATTTGTAATAAGTCAATAACAGAAATTATAGGTCTCAAACTCGTGCTCCTATATGTAATTTCCATGACCGTCCGGACTAATTTTGAGAGACTCGGATTGAGTTCCAATTTGATGGAGTCAAACTTGAGAGTTGAGAATATCCGAATTCTCCAGAATCTTATCAACCAAGTTTTTTTTAATGCTAACTTGTAGAGACTGTAACAGAGCTACACAATGTACTAAACATAGGTACGTAAGATATTATGGATTATTCAACCCTTCATCCCATGATCAGATTCAAACTATCAGCTACAATACAGCCACTGTCGACCGAAAAAAGCTACCAATCCACTAACAAGAATATGAAGTTGTAGTACATAATACAGCAAATAGCCACTGGGGAAGCTTCGGTGTTTAACCCAAAAAACTGGGATTGACAACCTCATTCCAACCCCGACAACTGCTTAAACTGACTGTCCTCACGTGCAGAATAATTCCGCACACTGGTCAGACCACCTATTATAATAATCCTCCGGAATACAAAGAGCAAAATTCATATGAAAGTTATATGGGGAACAGAATATAAATATAAGCCATCGAATAATAGACATCCACTACCTGAGTATATGGCTCAAACCATAAATGATCTATTTAGTTTTAGTTTTCTTTTTTAGTCACCCAAACCGGCCCTCTTTTTTAAGTGCTGCTTGAAGTCCATGATGTCACCCTCCCATTTGGTAACCGCCTGCTTCTCACAAACCCATATTTCATGGGCAACCTGGTTAATCAGTCTGAAATCATGGCTGACCAGAACCATCCCGCCATCCCACTCGTTCAAAGCCTCTGCAAGCGAGTCGATCGTCTCTATATCCAAATGGTTGGTTGGCTCATCGAGCAGCAGCAAGTGCGGCTGCCTAAATGCCAACCAAGCAAATATCACCCGGCTACGTTGCCCGTCTGACAGGTTCTTCATCGGCATCACCTGAGCTTTACCTGTCAGACCAAACCTTCCAATTGCTGACCTCATCTTCTCTTCCTCATTCCCAGGGTACTCTTTGATCATATAGTTGAGTGCAGACATTTCTATGTCAAGCTTCTCTGTTAAGTGTTGGTGGTACTGTGCGATTTTCAGATGGTTGTGGCGTCTGACCATGCCGTCCAGTGGGGTTAAATCTCCAACCATGAGTTTAAGCAATGTGCTCTTCCCTGCTCCGTTTGGGCCAACGAGGGCAATCCTT